TCGGTGAACTTCTACATTATGTGGATTTTGAACAGTAAAACAAAAAAAATATTCATGAAATATTTTAGCTGGACGCAAGTGTGACATCGTTATGTGAGGAAGTCGTTATGTGAGGAATAGTAAATTAGTAAGTTAGTAAGAATAATGATTATCTGTACGGAAAGAAGATACAACATCTAAGCTTTAGAATGTAAAATATATCCGGAAACGGTACAGAAAGTAACTAAAATAAGTTATAATAATAATAATAATAATAATAATAATAAAATAAGTTATAATAATAATAATAAATTACGGAGATAGGACCTGTAACAATTTTATGGGACTACACAACACACACAGACAAAACCATCAAAATTAATCGTCCTAACATCGTGATTAGAGACCGCTAGGATAAAAAAATTGCCTCCCTATTGATATGGTAGCCCCTAAAGACTGTAAACTATCTTTGAAGATCTTCAAAAAACATTCAAAATACAAGGTCCTTGAGATCGAAATCACAAAAATGTGGCACATGAGGACATCAATAATTCCAGTTGTAGTTGGAGCACTCGGATTGATTGGAAAATATTCCAATAGACTAATTGAAAGAAATTCCTGGTAGTCAATGCCGTAAAGAAATACAAAAAATTTTAAAAACAAGTACAGGTCACGCCTTACGAAGGGTTTTACCTTATATATATATATATATATATATATATATATATATATATATATATATATATATATATTTTTAAAAACTGATCAGTGGAAAATGTCATGATGCTACTTCTGAGGTTAGGTTTGATTTGGTATATCAACCTCAATGGGTTATTTAATGCCAACAAGATTTTTATTGCTGGTAAGATTTTTTTTATCTATCTATCTATCTATCTATCTATCTATCTATCTATCTATCTATCTAAGTATAGTTTTTTTTTTGTTTGTTTGTTTGTTTTTTTATTTTTACGTTATATCAACCCCAATGGGTTATTTAATGCCAACAAGATTTTTATTGCTGGTAAGATTTTTTTTCAAACATGTATTACTGGTAATGTTTTTTTTTTCAAAAGTGTAATGCCGGTAATCATTTTTCTCATACAATAGTAATAGTGTATTGCTGGTAATCATTTTTTACAAATTATTTCTGGTATTAAATCCTATTTTTACACTTTCATAGTGCTTTGACTCCAGTTTGGGGGTTAACTATTTGCCCTTAACTGGGACCCTAAAAGATGTTATCACCTCTAGTCAGGGTGGACCTGGGAACACCAGCAATTAAGAGGTGGTCCCACGCTCCTCAAAACCTTCGGATCTTGCTGTCGGATGTAGTTTATCGTCTTGCCCAGGATGTGGGTGTAGTTTATCATCATACCCAGGAAGCTGACCTTAGGTTTCTGGTCAGAACCCGGAAATAAATGAGTATACGCCAAAAACCAAAGGAAAGAAGAAGAAGAAGAAGAAGAAGAAGAAGAAGAAGAAGAAGAAGAAGAAATAACACCAGGGGGGCGAACAGTCATCAAAGGGAGACAATTAAATGGAAAGATCATATGAGAGAAGTTGTAGCAGACAATATGGTATGGAGACGGCTAAAAAATTATCGTTATATCTGAACAACAACTACAAATAAAACGAATCATTAACAATGGAATAAAAATCTCGATAAAACAGGAAATTTATTGTGAAGACTGGAGTCAATAAAAGCGAACATAAAAGCCATTGTCAAAGAAAAATTACCAGAAATAAACGCAGTGTGAAACAATCTAGCCATAGCCGGACAATTGAAAATTGCTTCTGAAGTTGTTTTCATATTCGGAGCTGATATCTTTGTCCTTACTAATTTTAAACTAATTCATCTGCTTCTTTCTTTGATTTGGGGCTTAGCATTCGAGATCAACATATTTATACCAGTTCGAAAATTGAAAAACAGTATACAAAAAATAATAAGACAAAAATAAGCCAATCTTAAAAAACATAAAATAATTTTTAGACTGCTACCACCAAAAACATAGTTAACCACTACTTCTTTTAGCTATATAATAATTGCGAATTTTAGTGTGCGTCACACTTTATCAAGTAAAGGGACACAATTCTCTAACTTTCAATAGCTCATGTTACAAATTTTTGGATTGTCAACTTTTCATTACTGCTATCGTTTTCGGCGATTTTTTACGTGATATTTTGGGATGAATTTTTTTGTACGATAACAATTTTTATAACTTGGAATTAAATTTGGGAATAATCGAAATTAATTGCGAAGTCTAACGAAAGTCACCCATAAAATAAAAATAATTGTTTGTACGGAAAATAAGGACCTACACACATCAAACTCTCTTTGATTTAAGTGGCGGGAGAAAAATTATCGTTGAACTTTTAAAAGGTAAGCTTAAATATTAATCCAATACTTAAATGCAGCGATCAATTTTGTGTTCTTCTGTAGTTTATTGTTGCCTATCGCATACGGCTGCAGTATGCTTCGTAAAAAGATATCTCAGCTAAAAGTGGACCTGATTGCAATCAAAAGAGACAAGGCTGCGGCGAGGAAAAGTGAAAATGAAAACCCAGATCAAATGGCAGCCAGGAGAGCTTCCAATGCTGAGAATATGTAAAGAGTTGGGGACTCTCAAACTCCTGAACAAACCGAAGGCACAATCAAGAGCCCTCTGCAGGAACTAGCTTAAATGTAGCCAGATAGCGGGGCTTCTAAGCTAATATGTCTACAAATCTTGCAAGTGTTTTAAGAGAGGGCGGAAAAAGCGATACTGAAATCCAAAGCCGTATAGAGACACTCAAGGAAGCATTTCAAAAGCTATACACAGTACAAATAAAAAAAAAAAAAGAAAATTTCGCTACGTGATATCTGTCCTCCTGTATGACAATATTCAGCCCCCCCCACGAGTGTGTCATGTGGCACAAGGCCTTTTTAACGTGGGCATTTCCGAGCCATTAGGCTCGGCCAAAAAATAGCCATTTGAACCCGTATAAACAGGTTCAGGGCCATTTTTATTCCGAAGGAGACTCCGCCCTTCAGCGTAGTCTCCTTCAAATCTTCCTCCCTGTCCGAAGGAAGAGAAAACCGTGCAGTCAGTTCAAAACTTGAACGACTGACTCTGTCCTCCTGTATGACATTGAATGCTAGACAATCTCCTCAAATATCAAGAAGAATCTCTAAGCAACAGCAATGTGGTTCTACAGAAGGATGCTGAGGATACTGTGGACCTAACATGTGAGTAACAACGAAGTTTTGGAGAAAAGTAAACTAAAAGGAAACTAATTCTTAACATCAAGAAGAGACAGCTGAGGTTTCTGAGGTATATAAGGGGGGTTTGAAAAATCTGATACTCACAGGGTAGATAGATGGACAGAGGAAAATTAAGCATAACATGCTTAGTGATGTCGAGAAAATTCTTCTTCTTCTTCTTCTTCTTCTTCTTCCTCTTCTTCTTTCTCCATCCCCCCATAATTTTTTCCTTCCATTCATTTTCTTCTTCTGCTCCTCCTCCTCCTACTTCTTTTTCATTTTCTTTTTCTTTCCCTTATCCTCCCCTTCCTCTTTCTCCTCCTTTACTTCCTCCTCTTCATTCTTCTTCTTCTTTTTCTGTTTCTCCTCGTCTTCCTCCTTTTTCTTCTTCTCCTCTTCCACGATTATTCTTCTTTTCATTCATTTTCTTCTTCTTCTTCTTCTTCTTCTTCTTCTTCTTCTTCTTCTTGACTTTATCAATAACAAAGGAACTGTAAAAAATTGCCTTGATTGGCAATGAAATACTAGAAGAAGAAACCTGAATACGAAATCCCGTAGAAGGAAAACTACGCAATTATCCTTCTTAAGAAGCCATGGAAACTCATAGATAATAAAGGAAAGAGATGTGTGGAGAATTATGGTCGGCTACATTAGGAAGGAACATTAAAAAAAAAAGGAAAGTTAGCAGATGCAGCTTTTATCCTTGAACCAAACAAATTAATGCTTAGTCAATGATAAAGAAAAAAAATCTCTTCCTCTCTTTCTGCTGATTTGTATTTGCGATTAAAATAAGTATATTTAATTCCAAGCACGAAACATCTAAATTTTGGTGATTTTTTTTTCTTCTTCTTATCTACAAGCTAAGTTGTAATTGGATTTCGATAACACTTATAGCATAATGAGATGGCAGCAGCTTTTTGAAGTTTCTACATCGTCAATAAAAAAAAGAGGAAGAAAATATTCTGAAAATTAAAACATCGTGTCTTTTTCACTGGAACTGGTAATTTTTGTGAATTTATTTTCCACCTAAAGTACCTATTCACTCACGACCCACTTTTCGTTGACAGCAGTCGGGAAGTTTCAACGCTTTTACTTCAAGTGATATTAATGGTTTAAAATTAATGTTTACGTTACAGGATAGAAATAATTTTCGCCTTTGTAGTGGGCATTATTTTGTTTCGTTTTATTTATTTTTTATTTTCTATCTTTTAATTTTTAATGAACTTTATAAGGAATCTTTTCAGCTGAACTAACCAACCGCATTTCGAATGAAAAAAAAAAGGAAACAAAAAAAAAAAGAAACAAAAAATATATTTGGCGCCAATGTGAAAACGAGGCTGTTTTGCTTTTTACTTTTTTTCTTTTCTTTGTTATATTTCAATAATAAAGATAAAAATGAATTTTATATTAATTTATTTTCCCTTAAGCAATTTGAAATTAGGGAAGTGATATTTCAGTATAGTTTTCTTCTAAGTGATCACCAATTCCATTAATAATTATTAAAAATAAAATACAAAAACAAGCCAGGCCTTTGCAAAATGAGACCGCGAACATTCATCGCTACAAATAAAATAAGTGTGAATAAATAATTAAATATGGATATGGAAACATACCGCTGAGACTGACATTACAGATGAACATTAAACGTATATTTTATATTTGTATGATCACAATCTATAGTATAAAAGAAGACATGAGTCTCTGTTCGCCACGCATTGTCTACGCGTGACTTTCTATTATATTTGGGTAGAAACACGACTCCGTCTCAATTATTGCGGAGTCAAAAGCGTGTATAAGAGAATACAAAGGTCAAGAGAGAAAATAATGAGAAGAAGCGTACCCCAGTGAGGGACACTTTTTGCCCACATGCATCTGAAGGCCAGAATTTAAGGTTATATCTAGCTATTTCAACTGTAAAAGGATGAGACCTTGCCGCCAATCTAGTCGTGCGCTGACATTAATAAAGCCTAAGGACCATAGAGGAAATTTTATCAGAACAATTAATATGAAAGTATTTATAGAAAAGGAACGGCGATGCTACGTTAGGGCGATAGGAAAGTGTCTGAGGCAGAGATGACAGGTCAGGACCAATAACATTGCAGATTCTTCTCTAGAATCTCTAAACATATAGCAGAAGCACTTTTCGTCACCTTGAACACCGTTATTCTTTTTATCCTTTCCTCATTCCATGTATACACCATATTTTCAATTACATTCACTCACTGTAAACCCTTACGTACTCGTGTAACTGCCACGTTGCTTGGGGCGATATGCATATATACATATGTGTGTGTGTGTGTGTGTGTGTGTGTGTGTGTGTGTGTGTGTGTGTGTGTGTAAAGATAGATAAAAAGAGACAGAAAAAGTCTGAAAAAGATAGATAGATAGATAGATAGATAGATAGATAGATAATGAACGGACTGGGTTTAGATAGATAGATAGATAGATATGATAGATAGATAGATAGATGAATGATACTAATGGATAGATACGAAAAGACTGGGATAGATAAATAAATAGATAATGAACAAACCTGCATTAGATAGATAGATAGATAGATAGATAGATAGATAGATAGATAGATAGATAGATAGATAATAGATACGAAAAAGACTGGGATAGATAAATAAATAGATAATGAACAAACCTGCATTAGATAGATAGATAGATAGATAGATGTTAGATAGATAGATAGATAGATAGATAGATAGATGAATGAATAATAGATAGATACGAAAATAGATGGGATAGAATAAATATATATAATAATGAACAAACTTGCATTAGATAGATAGATAGATATGAATAATGATAGATAGATAGATAGATAGAATAGATAGATAGATACGAAAAATAGATAGATAAATATATAGATAATGAACAAACTTGCATTAGATAGATAGATAGATAGATAGATAGATAGATGAATAGATAGATAGATAGATATATGAAAAAGACTGGGATAGATAAATATATAGATAATGAACAAACTTGCATTAGATAGATAGATAGATAGATAGATAGATAGATAGATAGATAGATAGATAGATAGATAGATAGATAGATGATAAAAAGACTGGGATAGATAAATAAATAGATAATGAACAAACCTGCATTAGATAGATAGATAGATAGATAGATAGATAGATAGATAGATAGATAGATAGATAGATACGAAAAGACTGGGATAGATAAATATATAGATAATGAACAAACTTGCATTAGATAGATAGATAGATAGATAGATAGATAGATAGATAGATAGATAGATAGATAGATAGATTTATGGGATGGGATAAATAAATATAGATAATGAACAAACTTGCATTAGATAGATAGATTATAGATAGATAGATAGATAGATAGATAGATAGATAGATAGATACGAAAAGACTGGGATAGATAAATAAATAGATAATGAACAAACCTGCATTAGATAGATAGATAGATAGATAGATAGATAGATAGATAGGAAAAGACTGGGATAGATAAATATATAGATAATGAACAAACCTGCATTAGATAATAGAAATGATTGATAGATAGATAGAATAGATAGATAGATAGATAAATAAAAGATTGAGATAGATAGATAGATAGATAGATAGATAGATAGATAGAATATAGAAAAATATTGAGATAGATAGATAAATAGATAGATAGATAGATAATCATGCACACATAATGGCAATTTGGATCGAACTTGCCAGAGAATCTCTCTCACAATCAAGAATCTATAGCCACCTTATGAAAGCCAATAACCGGCGAACCTCTCTTTAAGTCAACTTTTTAAAGAGATTACAATCACTCGGATAGAGAATAAGCATCAATTAACAGCATTTTCATTTTGACATCAATTCAAAAATTCCAAAATCTATATTCCTTGCGCTGTATTGATCCCAATCCTGTATATTTTGCAGCTAATACCATATGAAATATATGCTCGATATCATTCCTGGTTAGAAAGAGAGAGAGAGAGAGAAAGAGAGAGAGAGAAAGAGCGGCAGAGAGAGACAGACAGAGAAAGAGACTGGGGAAACGTGTATTTTGTTAATACAGACACAACCCTGCTTTTACTCTTATCTCTAATATGTATCTGCAGGAAGCGTTTAAAATAATGGCTTTTATGAACAAGGGCTTGGCAAAAAACATGGGCTATTCTTTAACTAAGCCATTTTTAGCCGTAGAAACACACAAAGCCAATCAAAGGGAACACAAACGTCTCAAGGGTCCCTATCTTGCCCTAAATACTGTCTCCGTTATTTGCATTCGTTGCTTGAGGGTCGGTAAAAACGAATCCCTGTTCATCTTTAACTACAAAGATTTAATAGTCGAAGCATATAAACGATGTTAAATTAAACAGAAAAGATTCTAAATCTAGTCCTCAAAACTCTCCTCATCTCAGCCGTGATCTGTGATGGCTATTCTGTAACTACAACTAATAGCAAAAGCACACATCGTTTTCCAAAATGTGCACAAAAAGTTTCAAGATTCTAACGCTCATCTTCAATATGCCTTAACTGATTCAATTTTTACGGCTTATCAACATTTTGCAGGTTATTTAAACCAAGAAAATATTTTTAGATTGTAAAAATTTGGTGGAGGGAGATAATAAAGTTTTAGTGATACAAATTTTACTAATTAACCCATAGCGTGGGAGAGAAGGCGGATTCATATCTTTCTCATGAGTATTTACGCGTACGTGAATATAACAAACCCGACTGGAATTAGAACTCAGCTCTCAGATAACAATTTCGAGCTATTATCCATTACACCACCCGCACATCCAATCTTACAGCACCTGATATTCTCAAGCAATCATGCAAATCAGAGAGAATTAGAAGTCCTACCAGGATTCATTATTGGCAGTCATAATCTTAAAAACATGACATGCAGATGACACAAGCCTGAATCGCTTCACTGCATAGTTTAAATGAGTCCGGTGAGAAGAGGCATCCTTGTCTTACACTCCTTTTTAAGTTTGTATCTTTACAGAATAAATTTCTATCTGTATTCAGGTGGTTTGTTACCGGTATAGATTACCAAATATTTCTTTTACAAACACGTTTGCTGCCCGGCTGCGGACCTTTGTATTAGGTTGGTGCAAAAATAATGACGTAAGAATGTCGTTTTTTGACGTTAAAAAATACGTCAAAAACGACATTCTTACGTCATTATTTTTGCACCAACCTAATAACTCTTTCATTTGCTCAAATCTTTGCTTATAATGTGTGTGTGTGTAGAGGCCGCCATTTTGGAGAAGGAATTACTGTAGCAAATGGCAGCCTCACTTCACATTGTCTTTATGATATTTTATGCTTTGTAACTAAAATGGACGTAGGAATTTTCAAATTCCAAAAAAGAAACTAGGTACAGCGTTTCGATTAAATCTTGCATTACTATGAAAATCGCAACGGATTCACGGAAGACAATAACACCTCTGGATAGATCATGATGTCAGCTACATATCATGTTCTTAATTTCATACATTAACAGCTGTTCTGCGTGTTCGTACATGGCAAGTTACACACAAGTCTACCTCCGCATTACACACCGCGAACTGAGATCACATCCACTGTTTCGTCTTCATAATCGTTCAGCATCGATACTTGGTAATGGGTATATTCTTTTCTGTATGGCGGGAATCCAATTCATTTTTATATTCCAGCATCCTGAATGGACATGGCGTACAAAAAAAGACGTATTAGTAGCAATCATATATTTCTGTTAGAATTTCTAGGATATGGATTTGTCGGTCGGAGAAATATCCTCATCTTCGCTGTTATGTTTCGGATTAAATTGTTTTTTACGGTTTATCAACCCTTTGTGGGATATTTAAAACTGAAACATAGTTCGTATTAAAGAGGTTAGCTTACAGTAGTCAATGGTTTAAGAATTGGCGGTTTCATCGTTTAAAAAAGTCAACCATAATTTATTTTAAATTCTAACTCAAAATTTTTTTTTTTTTTATCTGAATTTGTGGTAAAATGCAATTTAAAAATGGAATGAAACGTCGACATGAAAGATTACTAGTATTAAGTCAATACATATTTAATAATTGCAATAACAACAGACATATTCATAAAAAAGCAGTGAAGAATAATGAACTAATAGTGACTAATAGAACTAATAATAATAAAGAACTAATAAAAAGAGTTAAAAAAAAAAAAAGAAAAAAATGAAAAAATAAGCAGTTTTCATTTTCCTCTCAATAGAGCTCTGTCGATCAAAATTGTCGGATGACTTTGGTTCGTGTGCACTTTTATGCGAGACACCGGATATGATCCCCAAATTAGGGGTTATCGGCAAAAAATACCGATTATCAACATTTAATATCATACCATTAAGATCCGCTTCATCAGATACCAACCAAATTAAATTGCCATTAATTTCAGAACAAGCATCGAATGTATCTGTATGAATATATATATATATATATATATATATATATATATATATATATATAGAGAGAGAGAGAGAGAGAGAGAGAGAGTACGATTTTTTTTATTAATATGGCAATTTGAGAATTTTTTTTTTGTTGTAGGAGTTTATCAGTCAATATGGCATGAACTAAATTGTTCAATAAATAGAGTAATGTCTAAATTTTCAAAAATTCAACCTTAGCCCTTGCGACTGCACGGTCCAAATGTTTCTATCCGTTAATTATAACACATTTCAAAATATATATATATATATATATATATATATATATATATATATATATATATATATATATCTGTATGTGTGTGTGCACGCGTAAATACATAAATATATGAATTTCACACAAAGTACTGGTGTTATTGGAACATTGCTCAATATTATATAACAGAGCTATACTATATATATATATATATATATATATATATATATATATATATATATATATATTCCATATAATTTGCACTGAAACAGTTTCCATGCTAAACGCACACTCAACATCTGAAGATTGCGTTTGGCATGAAACTCCGAGTCATGCTTAAGGTGAAAGATAATAATATGCATATTTATTAATATATATATATATTGTTTATACGTTATTTTCATAAATACAAATATTTAAGTAAATGCCCTTTTAATAATGAACATTTTTAACAACATTTACCGGCCTAAACATCCGAGAAATTTTCATAAAAAATATGGGTCTTCCGAGAAGAACCGAACCTGTATCCTACACGGAACCATCATATAGCCTGACGTGCTATACCATTTTAGCTACGTTTGCTTAGCAAGGTCGATATTACCTCTTTTAAACAACAATTTTCCACGATTTCCCTCGAACGTTCATATCTGCTCGAAGCGTATCTAAACGTAAACAAATGACGTCACACACTACGAAAGTCCGACAATTATTTTAATATATTTTATTGTTATACGTTATTTTTATAGACACAAATATTTAAGTAAATGCTCTGTTTTTTATAATAAACAGTATTAATATTTGTCTTTGCTCACTATATAATTTTACAGTGGGGTTCACTCGGAAGCCATTTTAGGTAGAGTGTTACATATTAAGATGCACTGTTTATAGGTGCGGAAGATAACGGTTAACCCTAGACTTGAACAGGTTAAGATTTTAGTGATCGGGGGAATATCCTCTTAAGAATCGGTTCAACGGTGCAGTGGTCCGCTTGAAGAAGCTGTTCGAGTGGAACTGACTTCTCACCAACGGAGGAAATGAGTCTGGTTTGCTACAAAGTGCGTAGCATCGTGGGTCCTAGCCGTGGATGTTCGAAATGCTGGAACTGAAGAATGTAGTTCGTCTGACATCTTTCCATGGAAGTGACGATAAATCAGAGAGATTCTTCGCTAAGTTTCATCTGTGAGAGACAGATTGTAGAGTGGCAAATAAGGACCAGGGGACGCATTTGGAGCCTAACGAGACAGAAAAGTGAGGAACTTACATCTCCCACCCAAACTAATTCAATGAATCAACCTATGTACGTGTTGTGGGCTGATCTACGTGTCTGTCACCTGAAATGCCGACGACCAACATGGCAGACACGGAATATGAGTCCACGTAAAAAAAAAAAAAAAACAACAAGGAGCAATATATCTGTACATATAAAATACAATATTGTTGCGTTTTGCTGAAGAATGAACATGAATGGAGAAAATATTTGATGCTCGTGAATTGTTTGCGTATGTGTAGAAGAAATTCCTAGAAAAAAATGAAGTGAAAGTTGCGCACATAGATGTACGTGTGCGTGTGTGTGTGCGCCCGCGCGTGTATATTTTTCATGCATTTCCCAAAAGAAAAGCGTTCTTCCGCGAGAGACTTACATGTTGACGTGTAAGCGGATAAAGTGAGAAAAATAGAACGATAAAAAATATCGCCGAGTATTTATAGTCCGGAGAGCGTCCCCTAGTAACGGTTTCGAAAATTAGCAGGCGGTACTCAGACATACGTTTGAGGAGAAATACATTTAATACATTATGAAACGTCTTTCATTACAGTATCTGTTTTATTGGATTGGAAACCTTACTTAACATTATAACCTTGTAATTTTAATAGAAATAAAACTATTTCAATTCCATCTTTCGGTATTATATATGTTTAAATGATTGGTGAATTTGATTATCAGTAAACCTTTGTATACTATTTAGATTATTCAGACTATTGTCCTCATCTTTGTCGACATGTTTATTACAATGTTTCGGCCGTTGTAATAAATATGACGACAAAGATGAGGACAATACTCCGAATAATGTTAATAATGTACATAATACCTCATCTCAGAAATATAGACAGATACTGAAAGGCCGAAACGTTGTAATAATATGGTGACAAAGATGAGGACAATAGTCCGAATAATGTAAATAGTGTACATAATACCTCATCTCAGAAATATAGACAGATACTGAAGGGTCGAAACGTTGTAATAAATATGGCAACGAAGATGAGGACAATAGGCCGAATAATGTAAATAGTGTACATAATACCTCATCTCAGAAATATAGACAGATACTGAATGGTCGAAACGTTGTAATAAATATGGTTACGAAGATGAGGACAGCAGTCCGAATAATGTAAATAGTGTACATAATACCTCATCTCAGAAATATAGACAGATACTGAAAGGACGAAACGTTGTAATAAATATGATGACAAAGATGAGGACAATAGTCCGAATAATGTAAATAGTGTACATAATACCTCATCTCAGAAATATAGACAGATACTGAAGGGTCGAAACGTTGTAATAAATATGGCGACAAAGATGTGGACAATAATTCGAATAATGTAAATAGTGTACATAATACCTCATCTCAGAAATATATGAGAAACCTTTGTACGTTTGAAAGAATATAAATCTATTTCCTTTCAATAGCTGTTCCATTTATTTTATCCGGTCTAAAATTTCTTTTATCGGACTGTCGGACTATGGCTGTTGTCCAATCCTCGTACGTTATCTGAAGCATTTTTTTCATTTAAATTTTCAACAATTTTATCTCCTTATTCTTTTCTTAATAAATAGTAAAAGTGTAAACAAAAGAAAAACCGCCCTTGGCGGCGACCGTCATGATAATGAAAGCTATCGCTGACATTTCTTAAGCAGCTAATCAATTATTTAGCCCGGCTCCGCTGTCAGATACAGATCTAGTTTGTTTTTCATGTTATACAGAAATCATTCCCGTTCAGCACGTTCATCAATTGCAACATTAACTCCATCATTTAAATGGTTTCCATGTTGCATCGTCTTGTTGCTGGCTCGTTAATGCTATTCCCATCTCGAAAAAAAATTCTCTTCAATATCCCCTCAAACGACAACCATTTTTTTTTCTGTATGAAAAAGCGGAATTTAAGACGATACTTACAAGAAACATTAAATATAAACATCAAAACGAAAAGCAAAATCATGAAATTAATCAAGAGCAACAAAATGGCGGAAAGTTTCGACCATTGTAGGTGATTTTAGCAAATGAAATTTAACCAGAAGTGATGGAAGTGAGTTTGTTTGGTTTTGATTTATCGGGATTCAGGATTTGGTTACTGTATGAAAGGTCATTTCTCAAGAAAACAATATTGGATATGGCATAGAAGAGACGTGTTTTGAGATTAGACAGCATCTTCAAATAGATACAGAGAGGCTGAATAGGTCTGAATAACAAAAGAAAGAAAAACGGAGCGGGAAAAATCAAGAATCAAGCAGACGATGCGTGGGAAGAAAGAAAGAAAGAAAGAAAGAACGAAAGAAAGAACGAAAGAAAGAAAGAAAGGAAGGGAAATGACACTAGGAAAAGAAAGAAACAAACAAACAAACAAAGAAAGGGAAATGACACTAGGAAAAGAAAGAAAGAAAGAAAGAAAGAAAAAAATTTAAAGAAAAAATAAAGAAAAGAAAGAAAAAAAAGAAATATCAATAGGAAAGAAAGAAAGAAAGAAAGAAAGAAAGAAAGAAAGAAAGAAAGGAAAGAAAAGGAAATGAAAAAGGGAAAGAAGAAAGAAAAAAGAAAGAAAAAAAGAAAAAAAAAATAAAAAAAAAAAGAAAGAAAAAAAAAAAAAGGAAATATAAAAAGAAAAGAAAGAAAGAAAGGGGAAAAAGAAAGAAAAAGAAAGGAAAAATCCAAAGAAAGAAAGAAAGAAAATCAGAAAGAAAAGAAAATGTCAATAAAGAAAGAAAAAGAAAGAAAGAAAAAAGAAAGAAAATGTAAGAAAGAAAGAAAAAAGAAAGAAAGAAAGAAAAGAAAAAAAAGAAAGAAAGGAAATATCAATTTGGAAAAAAAAGAAAGAAAGAAAAGAAAGAAAAGAAATTAAAAAGGGAAAATGAAAACTAAAAAAAAAAAAGAAAAAACAAAGAAAGAAAGGAAAACACTAGGAAAAAAAGAAAAAAAATAAAAGAAAAGAAAGAAAGAGAGAGAGAAAACAGTGAAATATCAATAAAGAAAAAAGAAAGAAAATGAAAAGAAAGAAAGAAAGAAAGAAAGAAAAAAGGGAAAAGGAAATGTCAATGGGACAGAAAAGAAAGAAAGAAAAGAAAAAAAAAATGAAAGAAACCTAAGAAAATTTAAAACAGTGAAATATCAATGGGAAAAAAAAAAAAAAGAAAGAAAGAAAGAAAAAGAAAGAAAGAAAAAAAAAAATGAAAATGGGAAAGAAAGAAAGAAAAGAAAGAAAAAAAAAAGAAAGAAAGAAAGAAAGAAAATAAAAAAAGAAGAAAGAAAGAAAAAAAAAAAAAAGGAAAGAAGAGAAAAAAGAAAAAAAAGAAAAGAAAGAAAGAAAGAAAAAAAAAAAGAAAGAAAAAAAAAAGAAATAAAAATAGGGAAAGAAAAGAAAAGAAAGAAAGAAAGAAAGAAAGAAAGAAAGAAAAAAAAAAAAGGGAAATGTCAATGGGAAAGAAAGAAAGAAAGAAAGAAAGAAAGAAAGAAAGAAAGAAAGAAAGAAAAAAAAACGGTGAAATGTCAATAGGGAAATAAAGAAAGGGAGACAGGAAAATGTCAATAGGAAAAGAAAGAAAGAAAAAAGAAAAAAATATGAGCAGAAAGAAAAAAAAGAAAGGAAATGACAATAGGAAAAAAAAAGAAAGAAAGAAAAAAAAAAAAAGAAAGAAAGAAAGAAAGGAAATGTCAATGGGAAAGAAAGAAAAAAGAAAGAAAAGAAAGAAAAGAAAGAAAGAAAGAAAAGAAAAACAGTGAAATATCAATAGGGAAAAAAGAAAAAAGAAAGAAAGAAAGAAAGAAAGAAAGGGAAATGTCAATGGGAAAAAGAAAGAAAGAAAGAAAGAAAGAAAGAAAGAAAGAAAGAAAGAAAGTGAAATGTCAATAAAGAAAGAAAGAAAGAAAGAAAGAAAGAAAGGGAAATGTCAAGAAAGAAAGAAAGAAAGAAAAAGAAAAAGAAAGAAAGAAAGAAAAAGAAAGAAAGAAAGGGAAATATCAATAGGGAAAGAAAGAAAGAAAGAAAGAAAGAAAGAAAGAAAGAAAGAAAGAAAGAAAGAAAAAAGGGAAATGTCAATGGGAAAAGAAAGAAAGAAAGAAAGAAAGAAAGAAAGAAAGAAAGAAAAAGAAAAACGGTGAAATGTCAATAGGGAAATAAAGAAAGGGAGACAGGAAAATGTCAATAGGAAAAGAAAGAAAGAAAAAAGAAAGAAAATATGAGCAGAAAGAAAGAAAGAAAGGGAAATGACAATAGGAAAAGAAAGAAAGAAAGAAAGAAAGAAAGAAAGAAAGTGAAATGTCAATAGGGAAAGAAAGAAATAGAAAAAGATAGGGAAATGTCAATGGGATAAGAAAGAAAGAAAGAAAAGAAAGAAAAAGAAAGAAAGAAAGAAAGGGAAATGTCAATCGGAAAAGAAAGAATGTAAAGTGATTAATATAAGAGAAGAGAAGAAAGAAGGAAAGAAAATTAAGACTTTAATGGGGAAAAAAGAAAGAAAAAGAAAAATCAAAATACGAATGAATCTAAAAAGATAAAAAAATTTAAATAAATGTAATTTATGTGTACTTCAGTATAAACTAATAATAGGTTGCTACTTGAATATAACAAGGGTGATCTTGGGTGTAAGAGCTTTATACTGTCACAACCTGGGCTAGTTACGTCGTAATTATTAAAGTCGTTTCCTTTTGTGCCCATTCTCTTCTCGGTCAGTCGCTGTGACATGTCAAGTACGAGAGACATATGTTCAGATATCCGAAAATAAGACAGTATAAAGGGAAATGCAAGTTCAAGCCTTTAATAAGGTTCTTCGCATTTAGTGAACATAAGCAGACAGACATACGTTTTGAACGCCGTTGGGCTGATTAATTGTTTAGAGTATTTGATAAAACAAGTAATGGTTGTTTGACTTTTTCTAAGGTGGCTAGCTAATCCCAGTTGCAGACGCCAGCACAGGCACATCTGATATATATTGCAAGTATGATGAGCGGAACTTTCCGTAAGGTTAGACGCATTCTTTCCTGAAAAACGCTCTCAAAAATTTACCTGCGTCTTAGCACTGAAAGGTCAAGTTATCGAGAGGAGTTTGCCAACCCTTACGAACGCCAGTCATGAGGCTTTTTTACAGTGTGGTTCAGCCCGTACAAGGCTCGGAAACCGCTCGAGGTAGAGTGTTACAGAGTAAGGGCCACAGTTTATGTGGATAGGTGGGGAAGATAATGGTTGGCCTTGAACATTTTAAGTGTGTAGTGATCGCGGGAACATCTTGGTGGGACTCTGTTCCACAGAGAGGTTTTTCGCAAGAAGATATTCGGGTGGAACTTAGTTCTAACCGATACGGGGGCGGAATGCGGGTGGTTCTCTACAATGTGGGTAGCCGTGAAGGGTAGTACCCATGGAACTATGGAATGTAGTTCTTCTAAGTCCTTTCCCTGAATGTAAGCGATAAAGCAGTGAGAGATTTGCTATATTTCGACTCTGAGAGAGGGTCTACAGTGTTAAAAATAATCTGTCACCCCCGGGGACGTGGAAACGCTTTGCGGCTCTATCGAGACTGAAAAATGAGGACTTTGCAACTCTTGTCTATATCTGACAGCAATACTCCATTTTCGCCCTGATCTGGCTCCTGTTATAATACAGGATAGTGATGAATCGTATATTCAAGTTCCCCATGAGGTCTTGCTTAAGTTTCAGGCCCAATAGTCACACAAGGCATTAAAGGCCTTAAACTCGTACGGGAAATATAGTGAGCACAGTTTTTGCTTCCGAAAGAAACCATTATTACGGTGGGTTTGTTTTTTTACGGTTTATCAACCATCTTCTTAAACAGAGGCAAATGAGCCAATTATTTACTTCTAGCTTGGCAGCGTTACCTTGTGTCTAGGGTGGATTAATTCATAATGAAGAATTTACATGAAATCCCATCTTGGATACTAGACAGTTTTTCTAAAGTCGTTTCTTTTAACGCTGAGATATTCAAAGCTTTTCGAATCTGTTTTTATTTATTTATTTTTAATGGCTTTTTGAACAAGTCGAAAGACTTGTGTACGAGATATTTACAAAAAGTATGGGCACTGCTTCTATATAAACAAAACTACAACTATTATCAATTCGGCATTTAATCTCCTACGAAACAGTCCCTTTATGGGGACTAGGGCTATAAAAAGAAAACTCCAACACATATCAATTCGGCATTTAATCTCCTTCGAAGTAATCCCCTTATCAGGACTGGTGATATAAAAAGAAAACTACAACACATATCAATTCGGCATTTAATCTCCTTTGAAGTAGTCCCCTCATCGGGACTGTTCCTATAAAATGAACACTACAATTCATATCAATTCGGCATTTAATCACCTTCGAACTACTCCCCTTATCGGGAGTGGTGCTATAAAAAGAAAATTACAACACATATCAATTCGGCATTTAATCACCTTCGAAGTAGTCTCCTTATCGGGACTGTTGCTATAAAAAGAAAACTCCAACACATATCAATTCGGCATTTAATCACCTTAGAAGTAATCCCCTTATCGGGAGTGGTGCTATAAAAAGAAAACTACAACACATATCAATTCTGTATTTAATTACTTCGAAGTAGTCCCCTTATCAGGACTGGTACTATAAAAAGAAAACTACAACACATATCAATTCGGCATTTAATCACCTTCGAAGTAGCCCCCTTATCAGGACTGGTGCTATAAAAAGAAAACTACGACAATTATCAATTCGGCAATTAATCTCCTTCAAAGTAGTCCCTATCTGAAGTCACTCATTTCATCCAACGTCGTTTCCTTAGATGGAAGCATTTCTGTAACTCCTCTTTTGCGATAGCTAGCAGCTGCTTCCTCGCATTCTCTTGGATCTCATTTGCGTCTTGGAATCTTGTCCCTTTGAAGTGGGATTTTATTTTTGAAGAGGAAAAAGTCGTAAGGAGCGAGATATTTTGGAATATGGGGGTTGTCGGAGGTGGAGAATGATATGTTTGGCCAAAAAGTAATGGAACCTCTGAGCTGTGATGATATGACCACACTCTACACACTTTCCTTTCAAGCACTGCTATAAACAACGTGAGTGAGAGCGACATAGTTGATTGTATATCTGTGCCAGGCTCCGTTACCATAGCAACAGTCCCGATAGTTGTTTTTTTTTTTTACAGACCTCATATTTCTTTCCTAATGACTGTTAAACAATTCTGTATGTTCTATGATCAGATCCATACCCGGAAAAAAATCTGTATTTTTAAAAATTTCTAATGTGTCATTCAAACGAGACAGTTGCTCACTCAAATCCACTCTTTACTGTATGGGTGGCAAAAGTGGAAGACATTTATTGTTTAATCAATTTTCCTCTAAGCAAGGCGATAACGCCACTAAGATGTAAATGGCTTCTGGAAGTGAAAGAGAATTCCATGCGTTTTCAGGTAATCGGAGATCCAGTCCTAAACAAGAAACAAGGGATAAACCTTTAATCCTGTTCAAAAGACCGGGGAGGTGTGTGAACCGGGCGGTGGGTGAAACTATTTACTCTTATTGAGGAAAAATAATTAAATATATAGTAAACAAAATTTCAGGGTTTAGGCGGAGCCGTTAGAAGCATAGAGTTTAGGTAAATTTTAGAAGGAACCGGAAACCCAATCCTAAACAGGAAATGACGGATTAAAATCTACTCCGGTTCAAAAGACCGTGGAAAGGTGTGAAACGGAAAACGCCGATTAATATTTGCGCGGAATCTATATTTCTCATTTGTGAATTTTTCCGTAGTTTTGTAAACGACGACTGACTGATTGCACACGCGGCAAAGAGATTAGGAAACTTTAATGACACTTCTAAGATTTCGCTAACATATGTTAGGTTTGTAGTCAAACTAATGTTTTATTTTTATTTTCAGACTGAATTCTGATATGGCCTGTATACTAAGCGAAAGGTGAACAGAATCGTTTTTTTCTTCTTCTTCTAGACTAATTGTTTACACATACCCTCTTGAGTAACGATCGACTGGAGGCCAGCCTGCCAGATAGCTTGTTTTTGACTTATCTTCTTTTTTTATTTATTTAAAGTAACGACATAAACGTTTCAATCGGGATACAGAAGATGCCGAAATACAAGTGGTTGCTGAAAATGTTATATCCCCGACCAAGAATGTAATCAAAATATTTCTGAGCTTTGATCGTTTTGTAAGGTTTTGGGTAGTGGATTTGGAATTATAACTTTTCAAAATTTTCTCGTTATTTACTGCTTTATATATACTATAGAAAGCATCAAAAACATCCCTTTTTTTCTTAGAAAACTTATTTTGTTATATAAACTCGCTGACTTTTTTCTATAATTTATCTTAATATTATTTATGAAATGTCCAAGTTCGACAATTATTTAAAGACATATATCTGAATTTATATATATATATATATATATATATATATATATATATATATATATATATATATATATATAAGAAATATAGTCTTAAGGTGTGCTATATTTATGGGATAAGGTGCTCAATATCAGAGATAGAGCGTGTGTAAATATAAAAGTGAACATAGAAGTCAACACTTAGAGGCGACAGTCTGTTTCATGCTAGATGCAATTGTCAGGCCATATATATATATATATATATATATATATATATATATATATATATATATATATATATATTTATAAAGAAAGAACAGTAAGATATATAATCCGGTGTTCTTTTAGATATTTTTATTTTTACAAAATAGTGCTCAATGTAAATTAACAGAGCATTAATATTATAAATTAATTGATTTAAAATTTGTTTTTTTTCGCTACACAGTTCTAACCATGTTTCAAAAATGGAAGCTAAAAGCTACGAATTTAATTTTGTAATTAAATTAAAGACATTAGTTCCATTTCATCCTCAAGCGAATTTTGAGGATGAAATGGAATTAATGTTTTAATTACAAAATTAAATTCGGAGCTTTTAATATCCATTTTGAAACATTTTATATATATTCTATCGATAAAAATATATTTTAAATCATTAATTTATAAATATATATATAAAATATAAATATACATATTATTTATACATTTTATGTTTATACATTCTTTTATAGATAGATAAAATATTTAATAAATGCTCTGTTTATAATAAACAGTATTAAACAACAATTACCGGTCTGAATATATAAATTTTACAGATGTAATATTCATATTTATATCCGACACGGAACCTGCATCATATACGGAACCATCAATTAGCATTACGTGCTTTAACCGATCGAGCCACGGAGTATCATTCGATTAGCATTCATATCTGCTCAAAGCGTATCCAAATGTAAACAAATGACGTCACGCATTATGAAATGGACAAAGTCCGCCAATTATTTTAAGATAGTTTTATATTTATACATTCTTTTTATAGATACAAATGTTTAAGTAAATGCTCTGTTTTATAATAACGACATTTATTAACGACATTTACCGAGAAATTTTCATAGAAAATATGCGTCCTCCGACAGGAATCGAACCTGTATCCTATTTCAGGTCGGTAAATGTTGTTTGAGTTTGAATATAGATCGCCAGTGAGCGAGAAGAGGTGATCACATTATTGAATTAAGTGGATCACGTGACCATGGGAGAAATGTATAAGTAGAAAATAGCGTGGCGTCGAATTGATCCTCATTTCTATTCTATCCTCTATTACTATACGGATCGCTATTCTCTACTCTATTCACTATTCTATTTCTCTATTTGGGTCATTATTCGATGGTTACTTTTCGAGCGAGTATTATCATTTACAATAGCGCTGATGTTATTCGAAGGCGTCTGACACTAGTATTGTTCAAAGTTCGTTATATATAGTTGTATCTGCGTTACAAAGTCTCTACTAAACGAATATTAAAAAATACAACGACGAGTCTTCGTTGGCATCAATAAACTATTTATTATGCCATTCTTAGTTTTGATGTCATCTCCGTTTGTTTTACAAATGTCTCGAGCATCTTTGGTAGTTTAGTGTCCTTCATTAAAAGCAGAGAATGTGTCGAACATGCGCAGTCTTGTCTACATGGCATTCCATTTCAAAGAGGTGTCTAATCTGAATATGCCAAATCCCGAAGAATACCTTCGAGAGGTCCACAGCAACAAACCGAGTTTCAGTATTCTTATCTAAAGCTTGAGAGACTCTTTCTGCAATAATCGTTAATGCATCAGCAGTTGACCTAGAGAAGCGAAAGCCATATTCTAGAATTTTGCCAAAAGAGATAAAAGGCTATTAGGCTGGTAGTTCGAAGGAAGGGACGTATCACCTCAGACAGACAGACAGATAGGAACAGACTAAGATAGATCAATAGATAGGTATGAACAGATTGAGATATATATATGGACAGAATAAAGAAAAAAAAAAGAAAGAAAACAAAAAGTTGTTTGAAAGAAAAAGAAAGAAAAACAATAGGCAAAGTTTGATACATATATAGATATGAATTCTTTTAGATAGATAGATAGATAGATAGATATAATAAGCAAAGATAGATAGATAGATTTTCGGAAAATATATATACAGATACAAAAGATAGATAGATATGAAAATGCTATGATTGATGTCTGAAAAGACTGAAAAGCTTTTTAGATAGATAGATAGATAGAATAAGCAAAAGATTTAGATAATAGAATAAGCAAAAATTAATAGATAATATTTTCACATTTCACATGAAAAAGACTGGTCCATAGATAGATGAATATATTGATAGATAGATAGATAAGAATATGCAATGACTAATAGATAAATGCATAGATAGATAGATAGATAGAGATAGATAGATAGATAATTAAATATTTAATGACTGATTTATAGATTGATTCGAGATAAATATATTTTTCATAAAAAAGATTGATAGATATAAAACATCAGCAGATAGATAGATAGATAGATAAGATAGATAGATAGACATTTTTTTACTGACATGATAGAGATATCTCACAATATAGAATTTGCCTCAAATAGATAGATATATAGATAAAGTGAAATAGATAGATAGATAAATAGATAGATAGATAGATAGATAGATAGATAGAATAAGCAAAGATAGATAGATAAATAGATATGAGCAGACCGAGTTAGCTAGAATAAGCAAAGATTGATAGATATGTGGATATGAACATAGATAGATAGATAGATAGATAGATAGATAGATAGATAATGTCTGAAAACATATTCCTCCATTATACAATAAAGAACAAATATAAACTGTCTTTATGTTCTCAAATACCACGCTAAATTTGAATTGTAGAAGAGAAATGATGCCATTATCGAGGAACATTCATCTGGGCACAGTTTACTCATTCAAGTTGTTTTCAAAGAAGTCGTTCCGGTTGGCCGACGAGTGTAGAAAGTGGAAATGTGTAGCGTTAATGCGTGGTAACTGCGAGAAAGGAAATAAATCATCAGTTTATTTCTACAGAAACATTTATTGAAGCAAAGAATTATTGCTAGTCCCTTTAGACGAACGGTGAACAAGATTATTAAGCGACGGAGGGATGACGACTTGAACTAGCTAGTGAAGCAATAAATATAGATATATATATATATAATCTTAAAATAAGGTAAAAAGCTTAAAATATATAAATAAAATTATATATATATATATATATATCATTGTGATATAAATCAATCATCAAGGAACATATTTTATTCCTGTAATCATCACTCTGTATATATATCTATACAGTGTAACCCGGATATAAGAAACCCGGATATAAGAGAGATTTTTTCTGGTCCCAAATTAGAGCCTGTGTTAAATAACAATTACAAAATATACAGAATCCCAAGGATATAAGAAGGACGGTTTAATAAAATAATATTTTTAATACACTGTATATATATTTGTATATATATATATATATATTATATATATATATATAAAAATACATAGAGAGTAAACGGGGGGGGTTAGTAAGACATAATATAAGCTGAAATTTTAAATAAACTAAAAAGCAATATATATAAATATATATACTCATATACATATATATATATATATATATATATATATATATATATATATACATATATATATATATATATATATATATATAATTCTGAAACATCAATCATCGCAGCAAAATGGCCATCAAATTTTCGGCTTATTTTGAAATTGATGGACAGGTAAAGTATTTATACAATGACACAATCGAGAGATATATATATAGAGAGAGAGAGATCCTAAAAATTGTTAGATATAATATATGCTTTCCCGCCTATAAGTTAAAAAGTTTTAAATATATAAAATAAAATATATATATATATATATATATATAAATATATAATTATTCATTCGAAAAATTATAACATAAATAAAATTTATAAAATCACTACAAAAATAAATTTTGTTTCAACACTTTTGGTGTTTAAAATAAAGTTATGATTTGAATGTATAATAAAGGGTTTTAAAAGGTTTAAATCAATTAAACACCCCTCACTAGGGAAAGGATGTTATCATAAATGGAATGACCAAAATCAAAAAGACATATAGATTAGAATTCAAAAAAATTGTCAACGGACTTAGGTTACAATAATTATTTAATGCTTTAATGTTAGAGTTAGACTAAAATAGAATTCATTCTTATAAATAATTAATTATACTATAAAATTCAAAATTACTAATTTTAAATTTAATCTATATTAAGTTTAAAATTATAAAATGATTTAAAGAAGAAACTGAGGAAAAAAATAATACATATGTTTTTCTATTTATTTTGTTTTTATTGAAATTAAATTGGAATAGACATTAAAATCTAATGCTGCTCTGAACTCCACGACAACTTGGATACATTTGAAGCAAAAAGATTGGCAAGGGAGGCTGAAATCTTGTAAAAGACAATACATACACAATCAGATTATAATACACATTTTTAGATATATATATGTATATACACACAAAAAAAGCGACCAGACAGGAAATATCTCCTTGACACCTTAAAAAAAAACTGACAATATACATACACAATGAAAGATAAACACAATTGACCATACACACCGACAAAGACACGTACATATACACAATACATTGACAAAAACAGACTGATACACCCACCAAGAAATATTAAAGTTTGAAAATGTTATTAAACAAATGCAAATTTTATATATATATATATATATATATATATATATATATATATATATTATATATATATATTCCATTTCATTTTTTTGTTTATTTCCTGAAACATTCTGGTATCGTCAATTAACGACCGTTTAAATTTCGCATTAACCAAATCCTAAATTACCTCCCTTGTTTTTTCTTCATATTCTGATTTTTTCCTTAAATAATAAAAGATAATCTAACATCATGTGACGAGAGTACTTTCAGAGCTTAGGAGTTTTGCAAATAATATAATGTTCAAAATGCAACATGATTTTATTTATTTTAACTAATATTTAGACATACACAGATGAAAATGTCATTGTTTAGATTTTCTGGTAAAAATTATATAATGATTTTCACATATATATTCCTTCATAGAGGATGGGAATAATTTTGTCTAGGACCATATTATGGTTTCGTAGCTTCTTTTTTTAGTGTTTTCAAACTATGAAATTCGATACTTTGGGTGTGTATATTGCCACTATTATATATATATATATATATATATATATATATATATATATATTTGAATAAAAGACAGACCACGTTAAGATTCCATGTAATAAGCTATTTCACCATAACCCCTTTAACAGGGTTCTGGATCATCAGACTTTACTTCCAAAAAGCTGAAATGAAAAATGAAAAGAAATTCACATGTTTTTTACGGACCTCATCAAGTATACGCAAAGTTAACGAAGTGAGGAAGTGAGGTGGGAGAGAGGATATGAGTGTGTCATATGTATCATTTTAGTTTCCTATTTTAACCCCAGTGTGTCGGCTGGATGTTGCTCAAATCTAACGCGTCTCGTCTCTAGATAAAGGTGGTTAAGGGGTGAGCGATAAGGGATACATTAAGGAAGACGCGTTACAACAGCCCCAATAAATTACACGACAGGTTTCATTCAAATTCCTAGACGATGTCAGTATATATATATATATATATATATATATATGTATTATGATTATACATTATTTTTGTAAATACAAATGTCATCATAATCGTCCATTTAACTTCTGTAATCGTCGGGAAGGAAGTCATATTGAATCTCCTCCATAACGGTCTATCAACAGCAGCCATCATTGTCATTTTTTGACAACCAGTTTTCCCTTTTTTTCGCTGGCACCCTTCAATTCCTTGCATAACCATCTATGAACAGCAGTGTAATTTGTCAATTTTTTTGCCATTTTCCCCCAGTTCCACAGTGGGAAGAAGAGTTTGTGCAACCCTTTTCCGCACAAACTCATTGTTTTTTTGTTCCCGTTCCACAGTGGGAAAAGATTCCTGGTGTCCAATAACCTGAACCCTTTTCATCTCAAACATTTTTTTTTTTGTTCTTAAAAATAAATAGATCCTTCTCATTTGTTTCTGCTTATATCCTAATGTCTGCAATAATGTTTCACATCCATATAGGAGAATGGAGACTACCAGCGATTTGTACAATCCGCGCTTTGAAAGCTGATTTTGCTCCTCCATATTATTGCCAATTTGGCCATCGCTGCCATTGCTGCGACGATCCGTGTGAGCGATATATATCTATGTATATACAGGTTGTCCATAAAGTTCGTGCGCACATTTAAAAATTTATAACTTTATTTGTATTTGCGATAGAAATAATTTGTAAAAAGGATTAGAAAGAAGTAAATCTCTATTTTTTAAGGTTTTATTGGCATTTTATTTATATTTATGGATGCAACACTTTCGTCGCTGTTACATCGCCCTCCAGACAGCGGCTTATCATAGACGAAGCCTGTCTCTAAATTTTTTCATCCATTTAGCTATAGTGTTCCTATGAGGTGGTTCTTTATTGTATTCAATTCTAAACTTTCTTTGTACAGCAATAGTAGATTTCAGTTCAGCCAACCAAAGGACACAGTTTTCTTCTTCTTCAGTGGAAGCCATGGATCAATTTGATTCTAGAAAAAAGAAAATATTTTTTTTTACTTATCTAAAAATTGTTGCAACTGTTGAGGTAAAGAATTATTCAATAAATATACTTAAAACTAGGTACATAAACTTTATTTTCTATCGCAAATACAAATAAATTTATAATTCTTAAAGTGCAGACGAACTTTATGGACACACTGTATATTTAGTTTTAAGAATTTAAACGTTATCTTGGTAGGATATTCAGATATTCTTTAAAGAGTATAGTTCTTTATTTTCGTCTATCGGCCTGAATATTCGAGAAATCTCATTAAAGAAAGATATGCGTTCTCTGGCAGGATTCGAAACTATGTTTTTAGCCTTTTTTTTCCATGTGGATGCTGTCAATATTCCAAGTGTAAGTAATGTAAATAGTCAACATACCTTTTTTAGATTCTTTCTGTCCTATCAAATGTTGCGTTACTTATTATGGTCGACGTCAGTTGTGCTATTTTACACATAGAGCGGCGTGTTTGCATATCCCCCTTTCGTTCGCAAGTTTTATTTCAAATACACCACACGGATGAGAAAAGCTTTTACCAACCATTTTGTGTTATATCCATCCCCGCTGAAAAGATGTCAGCTTCTCTCCAATTAACTGAAGTCTTTCGTGTTTTACAAATGTCGTTCGCCTGGTTGCCACACATTTCTTTCATTGTGCTTCTACAGTTCATCCAACCTGAAAACAGTTGTTTAGGGTCGAACGAATTTGCTTGAGGGCTTTCCTGAAGTGACGTAAAGTCGTCTTTTTTACGGCTTTTTTTTTTTTTATAGTTCTTTTCAGCGGGAATTTGCTAAAAGCCAATAAGAACAGGTAAGACTGTCGCTACACTATATTTTATATTTCTAAACTACCCCTAAGGATTTGGTTCTTTTAGACATT